ATGATTTCAAGATCGAGGGCGTTCGAATGAAATTTTATGATCGATCAATATTACACGAAAATCGAGGTAATACTTTACTACCTCTTTATGCTTTATAAAACATGTTGGTATTGGTAAATGCATGAATGGAAATGTTTGGTCTCATATGTGTAATTAATGAAGATCTACATTTGATACAAATACGGTAGCAAGTAGGTAACTGAATATGGCTCATATGACTATTATAAAAGATTGAGGAATTGTTAGAATTAAATTACAAGTTTGTGATTGGTGATAAAGAAATCAGCCCTGGATTTGTAACTTATATTTTATATCATCAAATGTTAAATGTTAAAGGTACTTGGATGAGAAATTATGAGAATACTTCTGTAGGGTAAAATTACGAAAATACCCTTATGTTGTAGGATTTCAAAAATTATCCCTGAAAATTGGTTAATAACTCTGAAAGAACATATTGATATGATATAATTATAGATGTGCATAAGAAATGATAGTTTTGTTTAGAAAATTTGGATAACTGGTTTTTATCGCTAAAAAGGGTTTGTGCAAGATACTAGAAGTTTGTTAAGGAATAATTTCAAGATCAGAGAATGTTCGGGAAAGCAATTAATCATAGGATCTCTAAATTATAATTATTTTCGTTAAGAGCTAATATCGAAATTATCTAGTTAAGAAATTACAGAAATGCCCTTAAGAGGTAGAATAGTCTGAGTTAACCCTGAATGAAAAAATACTTAGAGGATTCATATTTAACTCGATTAAGTACGGATTTGATTATTAAGATCCTGATTTAGTGCAGAAAAATTTCCTGATATTCCGTTTGTAAAATCTGAGAAGGCACTTGACCCAGAAATATCCGAGTTATGAGTAAATACCTGCAGAATAATTTGTCGGGGTTGTTATGTTGTCAGAATTGTTCGAAAAGACTGAAATAAATGATAAGATTGAATTTAATAGTAAGATCAGACGGAAGGAAATGATTAAATTACACTGAATCTGTACAATGATCAAAATACCCTTGTAATGGAAATGACTTAAGAATATCACCAAGCTCATGAATGATTAGATATCTTTGAGCTCTGTAATGATTGGAATAAACTGAACACCAAAATGACTAAAATACCCTTATGGCCTATACTAAGTAAATGTCTTGGATTAATTAAGGAATCCAAATAAACATGGATGTGGTACTGCTCTTAAAAGTTACATATCACATATTAAGCCGAGCAACCAATGCTAGTGTTATATCAATACCTGAACGACATAGATGTCACTTGAATGCGTGTTTGTATTCTCAAGTTTGGCTCGATGATAATTTTGGAAGTATTCAGCTCAGCTCAACTCTAGATCGCATTCAACAGTAAGAATTTGATATTTGTTAGACAAATCAACCACGAAGACCAAATTGAATTGAACGGAAGTACAATATGTATACGAAATTCAAAAACGTCTGAATTACCTTAGAAAACCCCGAAGCATCTAAAATGGACTTGAATGCTAAGTGAAATAAGTAACCTCAATGACTATGGATTAAATAAGTGATTTGGATGAGTCTGAAAACGTTAATGAACATACATGATGTAATGTTCTTATGGGTCATGAACTACAAATCAAGCACGACAGCATTTCATGATATCGTGGTCGTGGAAGCGTGGAAACAAAATTAAGAGCATTGGTATATTTGTTAGTTTCTTTAAGATCTATTCAGCGATGATTCCGAAGATGATCTATGGATAAGAATTTTTGGTAATAAAAAGTAAATACCCTGAAAGGATAATGAATTGACCAGTTGACAAGCATTAGTTCTAGGAACTATTCATCTAGAGTTGTTAGAAAATCCGATTAATCGACATAGAGTGTAAATGTCCTGAATCTTCATTTCTTCCTTATTGGCTCAAGTCATATTCTGAATAACTGATGATTTCGTCAGTTATTGAACTCTTCCAATAATGATTCTGAATTCCAATGTTCTATCGGTATACTGAATATCTGTGTTCCTCTACCTGTTAAGATTATCCAATATCTTTGAATAATATCTGTAAATTCTGGTGTGTTCCCTACTCACATGAATATTTTATATGATTTTCGACTTGAATTCTGATATGATATCTGACATAGATTCTGATCTGATACTTGACTTGGATTTTGATCTGATATTGGACCTGAATTTTAATATGATATTTGACATGAATTATGCTTTGATTTTTTATATATTCGTTTACGGATGGAACATGTTTTATTTGGGGGTATTATTGGAGGAAGAATAACTGAAGGCTCCTCGGCTTTGTGTTCAGGGCCTTACTTGTCGGCTCATCGGCTGTGTGCTCAGGGCCTTACTGGACGTGACGGGGTTGTATGGTTCTGGGGAACCTACACATTTTGTACGTGACGGATGGGGGTATATATATGTATGTTTTAAGAAGATCTGAAAAGTTACATGGTTTTTTGGAACACACTAGATAACCTATTCTGATCTTCTGAACTCAGTCATCCGAAATATTTCTCTAAACTGAAAGCTCATTGTCCGTTACCACCTGAAATATCAGTAGGATCTCTGCTCAGCATAAAAGTCTGTAAATGTTCAGAAACAATAAGGATATATAAATATATATCTGTATCTGCACGTTCATCAGCATCATATGATATTTCTGTATTACTGAGCTTTCTGAAGCTCACTCTATTACGCAACATTGCAGGTTAAAAGAATTGTACCAGTGCAACTATCGTCATCAATATAGGAGTTCTTCCGGCGTTGATTTCAGAGAATGATACATGTGATTAGGGGGCATGTAATTGTATTTTGTTTTATATATGAGTCTGGAAATCTGTTTTATTTTTAAATAGTGACAAATGATTTTATAAGTTTACATATTCTGATAAAAAGTTTTAAATTTTCCGCTATTTTTACTGTGGGTCGCTCCAGTGGCCCTAATGTGACAACCCAGATCGGATCAGGTTATCCGCATCGGTCTGGGGTTACATAATCTAAGAAAAGAGGTATAATCAGTCCAAATTTGCCAAGAAAATGAAGCAATATATGTGAACTTTATTAGATAACTCATGAAAACATCACACCCTTCTTGTACCTTCATAGATGTGTTACAAAAGAAATATGAAACCTCTAAGGAAGAACAAGTAAAATCTCAGAAAAGTTGGATCTATGAAATTATTGGGGTTCCTTTTTTCTTGGAAAATAAGCCTCCAATCAAAGCAATCAATGGCTTCTTATTCTTTCTTAGTGAAGGGTGTCTATCGAGTTTTTCCACGCCTTGTGGACCGATAACTCGAGTTAAAGAAGGTTGATTAGCAAATGCCACGTATCTATTCTTTTGAAACTCAGTAGTTCCTTCATCAGAGGTTTTTGTTTCATGGAGCTCATATCTAGCCGAGCCTGGGACGATCCTGACATCTTCCATCTCAAACTCCATCATTGGTTTCTTGATATCTCCTTCTTTCATTAGCTCCAGTTCTCTCTTTCTTCTTTCAAGCTCTTCTTTGAGAGAGCTCAGACAATTCGCCATCACCATACTCTCTTCTCTAGCCTTTTCAAGGTTATATTTCGTCTCTTCCAGTTCAGCCGTAACAGTTACAAGGCTGGAGGAACCTTTCTCAGAAGCTTCACCATTCACCTGTCGCAAATGAACACAGTAAACTAACAGTTACGGGTTTATCGAGATGTAAGAGAAAGAGGGTTACCTGTTGGCTGAGCTTGGGGGCATAAATTTGGCCGGCTAAAACAAACAAGGCAACGACTTCTTTAACAGAGTTGAAGGGTGGGGTGGTGTCGATTTCTGCCCTATTCATCATCACAACGTCCATCCTTATGATGAAGTGATTATTCTGGGGGAGGATATTAAAGAAATATAAAATGGAGGGAAGGGAGCTTCGTTGCTTGGCGTCCACTTCACTGGAATGTGATCAGACAATACTCATAATATATGGGCTTCGACTGCAGACAGGGAGTGTTTAACTATTCCCAACGGATCAAAGGACCTGCCCCTCTACTGTTTCAGTTTCAGGGCCCTCCCGTACCATTGCTTTACTATCCCTCAATGCCCTATTTTCACTAACCCAAACAATATTATTTAATACACTTGGAATCTTCATCTCCCTCCACTTCAAGCTTTATTACATGTACATATCAATTCTGACTTTAAACTTTACCATGTAATTTTTATTCTAATATATTCTGATTATTAATTTAATTATATCAAGTTTAAGTCTTATTATATATAAATATTACATGTCAATGTCGATATAAATTTTATTCAAGCCTTGTCATATTCATGAATCTGTATGAAAATGACTTAAACTTACGAATGTGATTGTAATTATAATTGTGCCTATAACTTTATAAAATGATGATTGTAATTATAAATGCCCTTGAAACTTAAAAGTATCTCTTATAGAAATATTAAATAACGATTATATATTTTTTTACTAATTGAATTGAATTTAATTGTTATTATTGTTAATAGAGATGTTAATTTTATTTGAATCTGATAATTTTTCATTCTACTCTATAAGATTAAATCTGTTTTAATAAATAATTTTGAATTTAAATCGGTCGATTTGAAAATAACTTGATTTAAGATGTCACTCTTATTATATATAATACTATAAAAATTCAAATACTTTGTATTCACCTTAAATTTATAAAAAAATTATTATAAAACTCAAATATTCATTCAATTTTTTTGATTAAATAATAATTAAATAAAAAATTATAACGTTATTAAAAATGGTTTTTTATTCTGTTGAAACTATGTTTTAAGTGGCTTTTGATTTCAATTACGAGTAATTTCCTTTTCATTTTCCTCTGTTTTTTTATTTAAATTAGTTTTATGCCCATAGAAGCCCAAGCCTTTAAAGAACCAAGTGATTGCCCAAAAAGTAAAACGGTATTTGTACGTCATGTGTGTACGTTAGTATGACCATTATAATTTCTCTTTATAAGACGCCGAAGTATGACCGTTGAACTACCTTTTCAAACTGCAACGATTCAAAATTCTCACTTTCAGAACCCAACCAAAAAAAAAAAAATCTCTCAATCGTTTACCTCATCCTCTTCCTCTTATCCTTGTAACTCAGCTATCAAGAAAGTCGCAAATGGGAGCAAAAACACGGTCTCAACACTCATCAGAGCGTCAGAAGTGGGATCAAATATTTGAGGGTTTAGTTAAGATACTCAAAACCCAGCAACTACAGCTTGAAACTCTGGCTAAAGAACGAAAAATTATCGAAGATCGGATCAAGATGCAATATGAACGGTGGGTATCTGATGTTCGCCTTTATGAAGATCACATTTCTCAGGTAACACTTCTCAATTTTGTGTTTTGTTGCTTTTTTGGGGGGGGGGGAAATTAGGGTTTTTTATGGTGATTTTGTTATTATCTTGTTTTACCTAATTTGAGGTGTAATGTGAGGGATTTTGGTTATATTTCTGGATGTTTAGATGAAAAGTGAGTTGCAATCGGAAGAGATGGCTCGTGTGCTTGAGGCTACAAAAGCCGATATGATGGTAGGATTGAAGCACAGAGAAGCTTTTCTTTGCGAAATGAAATTAGGTATGCTGTGAGTTGCAATCGGAAGAGTTTCCTCTTTATATATATTAATGTTAATTCACTATGGAAGAAACAAACTTGTGCTTAAGTTATTACTGTAATGAGTGGTGGCTGTGAAATTTATGTTGGGTTGAATTCATACTTTGATGAGGGAACTGATTACAAATTGTTTCTCTTTTAGTAACTTTGATGTGGTCTGATGTTTAGATTTTCTCAATTGGCTTGTTACAGAGGAAACGGAGGCTGAATTAACTGATTTCAGAGTCTGGTTTAACATCCTCGGTAAAAGTTCAAAAGTATGTTCCCATGACTTTTCTCTTTTTCATAATTTAATGCATTGTACAAACTTCTAATCTCTTTATAATTTCATTATTTCAGGATATTTCTCAAAGGGATCCCATCGAAACCAAAAAAGGAATGTCGGGAGGCAAGCGTAGTGGTTCAAAGTCTGTTACTTTGGAAACATTGGAAGACAATGTAAGAAGGCTAAAGCTTCAATACGAAAATCTTGTTTCAGAGAAGAGTTCTCAAGCCACTGCACTTATGGCAGAGAATAAGTTTGCATGGAATCAGTTTAATATTCTGGAAAGTCGGTACACGGATAAATTAAACAGCAAGCAGTCTGAACTTGAAAAGGCTAACAAGCGAATCGAGGCACTTATTTCCCATATGGAGGAGCTGAGATCATCAAATGCTGAAAAGGATGAAATAATTGAGAGATTAAAAGCTGAATTGTCTCAGAAGGAGGCTGATGCAAGTAGATTCCGAGAGGCTTCTAAAATTCCTCGAGATGTAGAATTGTCAAGGAAGTCCACAACTGCTTCTCATACACCTGTAATAAAACGATGCACTGCAGGTGGAAAAACTTCCATTCTTAGAGGTAAGAATGGAAGCAGGGATAGATGCAACATTATTGTCCGGACAGAAGACTCTATCCCTAGTGTTCCTGATATTCAAAAGAACAATGAAAAGGTACTTTTGTTCACCAATAAGAAAGTTGATGTTCATGATTTCATACATTTCTCCAAATAGAACTTGAAGGGTAATACGTTTGCCAATATGTTAATTTTTATTCTGAAATCTGAAGTTATTCTGTTATGATGTTAATAGCATGTGTGGATGCCGCTGCTTGTGTTGTTATATGAAAGATCCTATGTCTAACCAAATGTTGAATTCTTATGGTCGTTTAGGGAAGCAGAAGCACAAAGAGGAAAAAGGACGATGCTATACCCCCTTCTGAAACTCTGAAATTGTTCACTTCTACGTTCAAAGTTCCCAGATTGAAAACCTCGTCTCCCGATACAGGATGACCATCTATCTTCTTGGCTACGGAGGTTGCTCTTCTATGTACTTTTTTTTGTTTATTAAGCTGAACCTTAGCAGTTGTATCTTTAACCGATGTGCATTAGTCCCATTCCCTGGAGGCTGGAGCAAGTGTTTGTGTATTTTTAACCGATGATTATTTGTATGAGTCTAAATATAATGAAGTAGTTAAATATGTTTATTTATTATAAATTACACTATGCTTGGTACCTCGTACTCACCCTTCTTGGATTGACAACGAAAGTTGATGACATCTTCAGACCATACACACTGGATTTCACGTTGTTGGGAATCCACTCCACCAAGTATGATGAATTCTTGATTTGAACATTGATCATTTGTTCATCAACTTCTTTGGTGCTCATCTTGCCACGGAACATAGCCGAGGCTGTTAAGTAGACTAGCGGCCATCACAGGGGCGGATAAGTCCCACAAGTGCATCTCATTATTTTAGAAAAATGGTTAAAGTTAGTTTAATATGTTAAGGAATTTTTTTTTTGCATTCTCATTATTTGTAAGAAAAGAATATTAAAATTTGAACTCCATTATTAAATTTCCGGATCCATCATTGTCATGGCGGGGTTAGCTACACACATCATGTTCTTCGCATTAGTGATATTAAGGTTTTTTTTCGGATTTTAGAAAAAAAAATGTTTTTTTAAATAATTTTTAAAGCTTTTTTTAAATATATATTTTTAAAAATATAGATGTTAAACATTTACTTTGAAAAAAAGTTAAACACTTAAAATTTACTAATATATAATTAAGGTATTTATTTTATCCTTCAGGCAAAATAAATAAATGAATTGAGGTATTTATTTTCTCCCTCAGCCAAAAAAAATAATGAATAGACTTAGATGAGTTTAAACTTTGAATTAACTATTATATATGGAAGAAGAGATAAATAAAATTTGTTACTTTGAATAGAATAAAGTTTAACAATCATATACGATACTCATGAAATAAGAAAGAGGGAGGAAGGATGATATAATTAGTAAGCTGTAAGTGATTCAAGTGAGTTGTTAATAGAGGCTTACGCTCAAACCGCAATTGTGATTTGTGATTGATTCTGAAATGTCCCCCCTTCTTTCCATTCATTTGGCCACACTTCCCCCTTTTCTTTCTCTCATTTTCTCGACATTCTCTCTTCAATTTTTAGTGTTTTCCTCTCCAATCTCTCTCTGCTCCTTGGGGTTTGCCTTGCGGAGACAAATGATGAACTCTATGGATCCTCATTCTTCTTTGCTTAACAACAGCCTCAACCAAATCTGAGAGGAACAGAAAACGAATTTCGAATCTTGTAGAATAATAATAATACCCGAGAAAGTAGTAAAAAACAAGCTTTTGGTGTTTTTTTTCCTACGGCGGCGAGGGAATATGAGCGCCTCCAGATTCATAAAATGTGTAACTGTCGGCGATGGAGCCGTCGGAAAGACCTGCCTGCTGATATCTTACACCAGCAATACTTTTCCTACGGTGAGCCTCTTTACTGCCCTTTCGGATATTTGTTGCTTGATCGCATGTTTTGTTAGCGCTTTTAATCTCCCGTTTTTTTAAGAAAAATTACTAATGGAAATCATAGGACAAGCTGAATTTGCACATCTACAATGAAGGAACCATTATGAAACACCAGGCGGGTTCAGATTATTGAACTTAAAAAATACACGGCCTTATCAAGTATTTAAACTTAAAATTTGGGGGCAAGTCTTAATTTGTCTAATGTTTAAACTTATATAGGGACCGCTCTCGTATGTGTGTGTGTGTTTTGTTTTGGAATAATTGAATAAGAAATGTTTAAAAATGTTGACGTTTGAGTTAGCTTTGTTCTGTATTTCTGCTGCTTTGAATTTCCTCAGGAAATTTTATTCTTTTATAAAAGCTGTCAAGATTGTTGTTAATGCCATACAATGCAGACAGATCAAGTGCATCCAGATCTCTTTGCAATTAATGGAAACTTTATTCCTTTATAATTTAAACCAGTTTAGTGCTGCTTGCACCTGGTACTGATTTTCTTTATCGGTTACATTGTTATGGTAACAGGACTATGTACCAACTGTTTTCGACAATTTCAGTGCAAATGTTGTTGTGGATGGCAACACGGTCAACATAGGATTATGGGATACTGCCGGTAATTTGGAAAAATAGCTTCTGAAATTCCTCTTCTGTTATTTGGTTTTCTTTCTTTCTTTCTTTTTATTTGGTTTTCTTTCTTTCTTTTGGGTCTGAAATCGTCGCCTTGAAAACAGGTCAGGAGGATTACAATAGATTAAGACCGCTGAGTTATCGTGGGGCGGATGTCTTTATTCTTGCATTCTCTCTCATCAGCAAGGCCAGTTATGAAAATGTCTCCAAGAAGGTCGAACCATCAAATGGCTTCTCTTTTGAGATAATAATAATAATAAAAATTCGGTGCAGTATATGTGTATTGCATGTCCCCGCAATTCATGTGTTTCTTTCTTTTCATTTCAGTGGATTCCTGAATTAAAGCATTACGCGCCTGGTGTTCCGATAATACTCGTTGGAACTAAGCTTGGTATCATTCTTAATCTCGGGATAATGCGATTCTTATCTACGATCTCAATCTCCAAGTGAATGAAATCATTCTCAAATCAATAGAGTATCCTTTAATTTATTACTAACGTTCCATGGTTTCTGCACTTTGCTGCTGCAGACCTTCGGGACGATGAGCAATTCTTGGCAGACCATCCGGCTGCAGTGCCTATATCCACAATTCAGGTACATATCTAAACATTATTAATTGTTATTCTTTTTTGGTGGAATATGTTTCAATTATTTGAATATTTGTGTTGCATTGCTTTGTGTTCTTGAGGGAGAGGAATTAAGGAAACAGATAGAGGCCCCTGCATACGTCGAATGTAGTTCGAAAACACAACAGGTTAAAATTTTCTCTAAATACAATTAAACTTTTTTCAACCTAAAAATTGCGAGGAAGCTTTCCTATGAGATTTTGTGTGAATGCTTGACTGCAGAATGTGAAGTCAGTCTTTGATTCAGCGATCAAGGTAGTGCTCCAGCCTCCTCAAAAGAATTGTAAGAAGAAAAAGTCATATGCTGGCTGCTCAATTTTATGATCAATACAACATTCAAGTTTTACAAAGATGGAGAACCTGCCAACTTCTTCTCACTGTCAGGTTTTTTTTATTCTTTTTTTATTTTTGGGTCTAATTCAAGGAAGCAGTAAGCCCATCATGTATATAGTCTCAAACTGAAATTCTAGGGATTTCTTTGAAAGTATTATCAGGTGGTATGTTTCGTGTTTTAGTTATTTTTTTAATGATTTGTGTGTATTTGATGACAAGCATTTGTTCCTTGTTAACTATGTTGTTCAACTCGCTCACGTATCAGCCAGATGTGAAAAATATCCACCACCCTCGTATGAAATTACAGTTTTCTTGCGTTATTTTTAAAATGTAAGCAATTTGATTAAAATATACTATATTAATTGTTTCTTTGCGTAGATTGCATTAGGGTACTTATCGAGCGAGTCGGTCGCGGATAGTACTCGACGTATGTTCGTTAAAATTTTTTGTTGCTCGGCTCGATTCGTTGCCTTTTAAGCTCGTTAAAATTTTACTCAATTCGTGTTCGTTAGGAAAAACTTGTTAAGTTCATTGCTCATTAAGCTCATTGAAATTTTTACCTTATTTTCTTAAGTATAGACAAAATCTACTAAAACTATAAAAAGTTTAATATAAACATAAATTAATAAATTTAACAAAAAAAAAATATTAAAAGAGTATATGAAACAATTTTAAAATCTAAACCCAAAACAACAATCCACAAATATATTAAAATAATAAATAAGATATGATTTTTTAGTATAGTAAAATATTAATTAATGGGAGGTTCCCCATTATATTATGCTGGTTGAAATGTCATTACAGAATGAGGTAAGGGCGTTTACAACTATGAGTTGGTTTTGGGGCTGCGTGCCTAGTTAGGAAAGAGATCGCCGGAGTATAGCACATGATCACGTTTTCTTGCTGCCATGGGGTCGACCTGTAAACAAGGTAAACCCAATGGGAACCAAAAAACGGGAGGGTACCGTATTGGGAAAAAGACGATCCAAAAAGCAAAGGCTCACCTAGCTGAAGGACCAACGACGATGGAGGTTACAAATACGAAGGAGGAGTTAATTCGGACGGAATCGAATGATTACGAGATAGACAATGAGACAAAGCCACCGTGGAGCTGCTTCTTGCAAAAAGATGAGGGGGAAATTCAGTAATAATTTAGTTTTTTTTGTTATTTATTAGGAAAATAACATATTAACTATTTGTCTTTTTTTATTATCTATTCGTAACTAGTAATTTTTAAATGAAATAATTAAAATAAATACTAATAAATCATATAAAAGAAATAAAAATTAACAAGTTGTTTGATAACATATCGAATAGAATTAAATTTTATTAATCTCAACTTATTAAGATATAAGGTCAAATTTAAATCAAATCAATTTGGGTCGAACCTTGACCAAGTTTTAACTCAATCCCTCTCGCTATCTCCCTCTCCCTCTCCCTCCATCTGCTATCCGTATCCTCAGTTAAAAGTTGTTAGTTAAAAATCCTCCCCATCTGCTACCTGATTATTTTCGTATTATTCTCTGATCAGCAGCGCCCCCAGAGCCAACTCTTTTGACTATTTATTTACTGAGAATAAGAGGGTATCGTTGGGGATATGGCGATATCGGATGCGGTGATCAGGAATTTGACGATGGTATACTTGGCAGTGACAGCGAGGATAAAGGGATATGGTTTGGTGAGTGGGCGGAACTTATGCGATGGTTCGTGCTGATTGTGTCGACCACGGTGGTGGGTTTCATCTTGGTCGGCACACTGACGTGGGACGTCATCCTTAAGGTTACTTACGCGATTCCTGGCGATCAAGCCGCTTCCGTACACGTTCAAGAGACGTACAAGGGTGGTATTTGCTGGCACGGCGTCGCCGTTCGTTCGCCTGCTTCTCAGGCCCGGCTAAGGATCACTCAACGAATTCCGTACCGTTTGTAAAATTCAATTAAAATTCTTCGATAATAAATTAAGTTTATAATCTGTAAGATAACAGGCGTTTTGCTTTTGCTTTTTTGCTGAAATTTGATTAGAACTTAGAAGGGAATAAAAAGACAATGTATAAAGTAGTAACAACCAAAGCTTCTTTCCAGGGAAAGGTGTTTGATCACATTGGTCCGCCTACCGACGAGAAGTTTAGAAATTCTCAAAGAGTTAGGTTGACATTATTACACTTCTTGTATAACATATTAACTCATGTAATGTTCATCGGAATCACTTGTCTTAGTTGTCTTTCCCTTCCTTTGGTCTTATACGTGAGAGTGTAAGCCCAGTGTTCATTGTCTAGCGCCGCAGCATTACTGATGGTCTTTTCAGAAATTAAAAAAAGGGTAACCTACAGAAATGGTTACCAAACTTTAAGGGTGCTTGTATTTTGGTTACCAAACTTTAAGGGTGCTTATATTTTGGTAACCCAACTTTTAAAACTAGCAATACAGTCATTAAATTTTTAATTCATTTACAGTAAGATCTCTAACGTTACCTCCGTTAGTTTTATTTGACGTGACAGTTACCTTCCATTATTAATTCTATTCTCTACAATCGCACCATTACCAATGGGCGTTTCAGAAATAAAGGGCATAATACAAACAAATACCCCTAACGTTTGACCATATATGCAATTTTGCCCGTATTATTTTTTTTAGCATTTGACCTCCCCATGTTTCATTTTGGGTCAAAAAAACACCCTCGTTGGATGAAAACCGTTAGTCAAATGACGGTCAACGCCTGAAGTTGACCCAGCAAGAACATGTGGAGGGAGATGCTGTCGTGGAATGTCCATATCATAGTAGACGATGACGTGGTAGATCCACGTAAACTAAATGTTGATGTGACATGTATACGTGTGATGTCACGTCAGTAACTTTTTAAATAAAAATAAAAATATTATTCTTAATATTTATATTTAATATTTTTGTCCAATAAAATGATGACATGTGTCGACACCGTTTAAATTTAAACCATGCAAAGCTTCTTTTATGGGGAGTTGAACATGGGCCAATTGCCTGGAACCCATCACTTAACCACCAAGCCAAATCTTTCATTTGTTTATCTTTTGCATTACAAAATATTTAACATATATATTATGTATCTCACACATTTTATCAAACATATTCTTCATCCCCTCTTGACATGCAATTTCTTTTCCTCTTAACTACGTGATTTTACACGTAAAATATTTTGAGTGTGTTTTTTTTTTTCATTTTTCTTATCCTTTTCGAAGTAATGGTAATGTGCCACGTCAGATAAAACTAGCGAGAGATAATGTCACGATCTCATTGGAAATGAACTAAATTTTAGTGATTGTATTACAATTTTTAAAAGTTGTGTGACCAAAATTCAAGCACTATAAAATTTCGATGATCATTTATATAGTTTACCAAAAAAAAGTTGGGATATTTGTCTTTAGTATTATACTTGTGAAAATTTTGGTTAATTTACATTTCAGTCTATTAAGCTTTATACTTGATTTTTTTTTATTATGGATATCATTTGTTAACTTCAGTGAATAATTTTCGTATCATTTTTTGACATTAATAATAATCTTAACATACATATGTAATTTATGTGTACTATTATTTGGTGTATCATCAATATAGAAAACAATTTCACCAGAAGCATTAACCTGATAACCTCCTATTTCCCCGTTTAAACAGACACTGAACTTATTCAACAATCATCAATGCTTTCTGTAAAACAATAACTTCAATCGACGGTGGCGCAACAGTGAACATTAACTCGCTTAGAGGTTGATTACGACGTAATTTCGTCAAAAAATCTGTTACTTTGTTCAACCAGCAGCATTATATGTTGTTTATTTGTTCTTAATTTCTTTTGATATAATCGTTAATATTTAATTTATTAATCGATCAATCTGGATTGAATACTATTAATGTTTAAATCATTAATATTTAAATCTGTAAAACAATTGATCGTTTATATTTACTATTAAATTTTCTAATATTCAAAATTGATTATATATACATATATATATATATATATATATATATATATATATATATATATGTAAACTAAAACGGCAGAACATTCTCATAAAATTTTTCCTTTTTTTTTTCTATTATCATATATTTTGGGGAAAGAAAGGAAGCAGAAATTGATTACACCATAACCCTTAATAGTCGAGCCGAGCCTAGTAGATGATTGTGAAACTCTGGCAGGCATCCCCGGCATCTGAAGAAACAAATGAAAACCCACCGGCTTGCTTAAGGCTAGAGAGTAAGCTGTTGGATTTCCTTCTCGATACTTGTGGACTATCTGGACTTGACATGCTGGCGATGCCCTCTTTTAAAGCTGCAAACTCATCGCTATGGCGTTTTTTCAAAAAAAAAAAATCACCGGACCGATATATTTATCGATCTAATATCGATCAGATTATATTTTTTAATCTAACACCCTTTGCAGTAAGGTGTGCTCCTGCAACGCGTTATATGCTGATTTGGCGTCACGTGAGGTAAGGCCCCCCCTGAGACGCGCCTTATGCTGACATGGATACACGTGAGTATAGCGCGGCCCCTGTGGCGCGCCTTACGCCACGTAGGGTACAACGCGGGTCAGGGGTCGTGCCTAACCTTTATAATTATATATAGCGCGAGACAGGTACTGCACATTGTATAATTTTTACAACTTTTCTCGACTATAAATACCCTTCTCCCCCGGGTTAAGTTCCTCACATCTCCTCACATCGCTCCTCTCAACTTAAAAATTAATACAACAATTCCGACAACGAATCAATAATTCTAACAATTTTCTCATATTTTATTCAGAAGTTCGTACGATTTTTCGTTATAAGGCAATTTTGTGATAAATTTTATTATTATATGTATTGTTTATTATGATTATTTGAAAAAAATATTATACTAATTGTTGTCAATTAATTTTTGTGTTTGTAAAATTAGAAATCGGGAATATACATCGAAATAGTTTTACGGTACAGGTAATAATATAAAATTATATTATTTAAATTATTTACTTTTATGTGTAAAAATTTTATTCTGTTATATTTTCGTTCATATATTATTTATTTAATCAGCATTGTTTCAATTATTTTTTTTGCATATATAATATTGCAGCACTTTTAAACTCAAAGAATTGCGCGACTTTCAGCTATTGTTTATTATGATGGTGAAATTCGAGAAGATAAAACCAGCGTTGTTTTCGTATCAAATGAGCATGTTAAAATATCATTGAAGAGAAACATAACTCTTGAGGAACTGATAACGAAGATT